CGGTTGCGGCGTCGCCGGTTCTTGACCTGCTTGTGGTAAAAAGATGTATTGCGGTCGCCTAGGAATTGCCAGTCCCTCGTTGCCTTTTGAATTAAGAGCATCTCTTCTTGCCGAAGAACTTCTCCTAATTCTATTCGAAGTCCCTTTTCCAGACTTCGTAAGTGAGCTGTGCGGTAGAAGCGAGTGCAACGCTGGATGCCTCGGATGCGGGCCATCAAACATCTCCTTCGGCGAAAAATGTTCCCGAAGACAGTAAAGTTCCACACCCTTGCCTTTTCCATGAACTCTGTGGACGCGGCCTCGAAGCTCAGCGAGGACCCCCACGACTGTTCTAACATATCTTTGAAGCCGGGGTGTAGTAGCCAAGAGGCCAAAAAACGAAAAGGTTTGACCCCGGTCGGCGGTGGGCTATGCCTCCCAAACTCAAGAAGAAGCGGCGAATGGTTGGAGCGTAATCTCGGGAGGAGGTGGACCCAGCTCCCCTCAAACTTCTCCAACCAAGGAATATTTGCCACAAATCGATCCAGCTTCTCGGCTACCCGGCCCTGTTGAGTGTCGCGAATCCATGTGAACACATGCCCGTCGATCGCCACCTCTTGAAGACTATTATTAAAGATCCAGTCAGCAAATGCCCGACTAATATTACAAAACCTCGTCGAGCCACCCGTTTTTTCCGAGGGGCGGAGGAGACAGTTAAAATCTCCCCCAATAACCCAGGGTTCAGATACAGCCTCCGCTAATCAGTTCAAGTCCGTCCAAAGAGAGCCTCGGATCGTTGAACAAGGGCTAGCATAAATAAAAATGACGAGGCTCACCACATCCGAGCTATACAACCGGACATGGACGAATTGGCGGGAGCACTCAAGAATGTCAAGCTTCACCTCGTCTGTCCAGAGGATCCAGATACCCCCCGAAAAACCTTGCGCCTCCACACGGAAGGAGTTGTCAAAACGACTGCTACGCACGAACTTGTCTGCTTTCAAACCACTTATGCGAGGTTCCAACACAACAAATACATCGGGTCTATATTGTTGGTTAAGTGGGGAGAAAACTCCCCGAAACTCAGGCGAGCCCGCACCTTGGACATTCCAAGAAATTATCTTCATGATAAAATAAAAGGAAATGGCGGACAGCGGTCCTACTGATCACGTGGCTGGGCAAATATTAGAACGATTCTGGGCAAATATTAGTACCAAAAAAATTAGAACGATTCTAATTGCATTTTTATGCAAATATTAATATAAACATATTACCATCTTTATGTCAATTATAATTAATTTATTAATTAATTTATTAATTAATATACACATATTATCATCTCTACGTGAGATGTGATTATATAAATCATGAATAAGATTGACACTACAGTCACAGAAAATATATTTTATACGTACTCAGACTCAGTTAACAAAGCTTCAAAAAAATACCTCCCCTTTTGTTTTCGATAAAAAAAATTGACGTACACATTGCCACAACTGGCTCTTAAACTTCGTCTAATTAGGATGTACGAAAAGATTACGACCCGTGGAGGAAACGTGATTCACTTTATTGAGTGCATCTTTCATGATTCTGAAGTGCGTATATTGGAATATTATTAGTCTAACTATCAAATGTGTTATTCATATTTATTGTCCAATATTATTAGTCTATCTCTCTAATGTGCTATTGATATTAAATCTAGCAATATGTAAATTTTTCATTTTCTTTTTAATTTGATAGGTTTATGGTGTGTGGTTCACAAAAATTGCTATTTTAATCATACACACATTAGTTTCATATGCACGCATATGATATAGAAGGTTTCATCATACACACGCACATTAATTTCACAATTTTTTTTTATTTGGTATGTTGAATATAAAATTTAAATACTTTTTATGTGTTCGTAGGGATCGGAGATCGAATTCAAGGTACTATAAAACAAAAGGATAGAGATATCAAGAAGACTCTTGTGGAAGGAAAAATTTATGCTATAAAAAATTACAACTTGGAGGAGTGGCAAGGTCAGTCGCTAACACATGTCGGCCTGTTTTTAAAAAATCATGTATTCAGTCACAGACAGTTGTATGTGGCTGTATCACGTGTAACCAATCGTAATGGTTTAAAATCTTAGTGTGTGTGGAGATCAAGCTTCTAAGACTCATACCGAAAATATAAAGAATTTTTTAATAATATCTAAATATAATGAGTTTGACTTACTATTTTTTTTTACATTAATAGCTTCTTACAATAGGTTGTCTTTGAACTATATGTGATATTTGAACTATATGTGATATGTTATCTCCTTTTGATTTGCAAATAACTTTAAAATTCATGTGGGCATCACTTACCACTTGTGATTTCCTATGTGATGGTGATGAGTGTTAAAAGAGTTAATGACTATTAGTAACATACACGTCCGTCTATTATGTTTCAATAAATGAAAAACTCTATTTTGTGTTATCTGACGCAACAGTGATCTTGGTTTTAAAATATTAGTTTGTAAATACCACTGTGGCCGGTCATACCATTAATCTATGTATAATGGAATTTTTAATAATATTAAAATAAATTTCATTTTTCCAATTGATTTGCAAAAACTATAAGTTTTTAATTAATTAACTTACGATAATTATTAATTAATTAACTTACGATAATTATTGTTATTGAATCATATCCCCGTGCATCGCACCGTTTTAACACTAGTAACATGGTATGATGAATTTATCCAACCAAACAGGTCCAAGGGTATAATAGTAGTTAGGTGTTGATAATAACCACCCCTAAATTCACAATGGATAAAATAAATTGACCAAAGGACAACACACTAGCCACGAGAATTTATAAATAAAGGTTGGATCGTGGAATCTTTTTAGCTCTCATTTATTTTGCCATTTCTGTTCTTCTTCCTTGGGCCCCCTCACACAAATAGCAAAAAAACCAGAACCCAACCACAAATGAAACATCTTTCTCTGTAGAGTAGATGCATTTTCATAGAAACGCAGCCATTAATTACTACAACAAAGTACCTTGTTTTCAGCGTTTTTCCCTTTTATTTTCTAGCATAGAACGCTAATAAAGCTCCCTCTGTTTTAGCGTATCAAAAATCTCAGCTTCCACACATGTTCACTTGCAGCTTTTCCCCCTAAAAATTCTATCCTATCATTTTTTTTCAAAATTTGTTTTTTTTTTTTCTCGTTTTTTGAGTTCCGGTTGACTATGTTCAACTCAGAGACAATGAATCCAAGAGACATGAGCCTGATTAGCGACGACGGCGGCGGCGGCGGCGGCGGCGGCGGCAGCTTCAGCCCTTCAAACCCCGGAAATCTCGGCAGTTTCAAGCACGTCTCATCGGCTCAGAAGGCAGATTTTAGTAGTGGGTCGAATTTCTTCAGGAACCAAAACCAGCTGAATCAACAACCAGGCGGTGGCTTAACTCGGTTCAAGTCGGCTCCCAGCTCTTTTCTAGCGGCGCTTATAGATTCCAACAACACCGACAACAGCAGCAGTGGGGATGACGAATCTGAAGCCTTCTTCTCGGCGCTGATGAGTGGGCCCACCCCCACCGCCCGGGATCTGAATCGGACGGACGGTAACAGTGGCTGCGATGACAACAGTCACAATAATCATCAGATGTTCCAACACGAGGAGGAGGAGGCGGAGGCCGGGACCCGACCCGGGAGAAACGGGCTGGGCGGTGGGCAGATGGGTTATGAGAGCGCTGTGAGCGGCGGCGGAGGCTGTATCGTTGGATCTTATTCGGTGGGGATGGAGGAGAGTCAGGTTAACAATAATAATATGAGATTGCTTAATAATGGAAATATTAGCTCAAATCTTGTCAGGCAAAGCAGCTCCCCTGCTGGATTTTTTAATGGTAACTATTTATTTTTCTATCTGTTTAATTTTGCTTGGAGTGATGGGATTTTTATCATTCATGTTCATTGGTTGCTATTGGTTCTCTTTGTCTGCTTGTTCCATTTTTGTTCAATGGCTTGTGCTTAGAAC